ACTGATCAGAACAATACTAAACACACCACTCCTTTTTTTTGGTGAGGCTTTACAGGACAGAGTGCTTCTCCACGGGACATGTTAACTCACGGGCAGCTGGCTCATCAAGGAACCAGAGCAGCTTTCCATGTACTGGTAAGACACGTGCAGCCGGTAAGGGTTCAGGCTCTTCTTCCTGGAGGATACGCTGCAAGCCTGTTGAACGAGGTGACCTTGCTCGGGTCCCAGGTGTACGGTTCCTAAAATGGCTGCCATATACACGTCCACTGATAGGAGACGCGGAAGGTATTAAACTGATCCGAACAATACTAAACACACCACAAATAAGGTTTCTCTCCTGTATGGCTCCTCAAATGATGCTTAAGATTAGAAGCGGCTGAAAAGCATTTCTCACACTCAGAACAAAAATATATATTTTTAACATTCTCTCCACTTTGAACGAAATGACGTTTGGGAAGAGATTAACATAATTAAACACAAGCAGTAAAAATACAGTTTTTAGCCATACCCTGTAACTTTAAAACTACACATCCCATCTTCATAATTACATATTTGGAATCAGCACACTTAAAACATAAACATAACCAAAATCAGCCAAATCCATCCAGGGGTTAAAAAGTTAGCTGGAGGTCCCTTTATGACCGACCGCAAGCACATTTTCCTGCCCAAAACAGTTCCATAGATTTGGGCTGTGAGGTCGCTCTATTTCAGGCTGAAAAAACGACTAAGTCCCATAGCGAATGGGACTTAGTCTCTGCAGCTGAAATAAGGCTGAAAAAAACGGCTGAAAAAAAGACTAAGTCCCATCGCCGAATGGGACTTAGTCTCTGCAGCTGTAAAACCAGTAGGGGAGAAGGTAGAGCTCAGCGGTGTTCACGGAAATGTGTAGCCGATTTTAGTTCCATGAATTTGGCTACACATACCGCTGACCTCGTCGAATGATCAAAGATAGCCGCCGCCACGTGTTCGGCAAACGAACAAAGACCTCCCAGCATTGTCAATTAAGCTGCGGTTAACCGCAGCTTCTGGGAGGTAAATTGCCTGCACACTTCCACTTCTGGGTGGTCTGCCTGTGTGGTACTTGGTTCAGTAAGCCCCATTTACTGAACCAAGTGGGAAATAGCCAGGCAGGCACAAAGGGTTTACACCAGGTCTGGGGACACAGGGGACACCGTCTTACCGGGGCAGTGTCCCCAACAAGTCTGGGGACACGGCCTTAAAGGGGCAGTGTCCCAATCTTCCTGATGTCCCAAAAAAGGTGTTTAAAGGGCCAGCACCAGTCACATAAAGAGTCCATAAGCCCCAATATGCCCACCGACAGTCTTAAAGGGCCATACACACCAAATAAAAGTGCATACATTTTCACAATCTCCCAGGGGCCATAGTCATGCGGGAGGAGGCTGGCAAATAGGCTTCTCCACAACCCAGGGAAGCAGGGCAATTTGCCATTTAAAGGGCCCGTTACAAATAGCAGTTTGTAACAAGGTGTCAATCCATATCTGCCAAGTGACCCGATGTAGGGGGACCAGTCCCTATTCTGCTCTGTGTCAGTGTGTATCATGGTCTCTGAGGACAGGTGTCAATCCATATCTGCCAAGTGACCCTATGTAGGGGTAACAGTCTCTATTCTGCTCTGTGTCAGTGTGTATCAGGGGCTCTGAGGACAGGTGTCAATCCATAACTGCCAAGTGACCCTATGTAGGGGAAACAGTCTCTATTCTGCTCTGTGTCAGTGTGTATCATGTTCTCTGAGGACAGGTGTCAATCCATATCTGCCAAGTGACCCTACGTAGGAGGAACAGTCTCTATTCTGCTCTGTGTCAGTGTGTATCAGGGGCTCTGAGGACAGGTGTCAATCCATATGTCAAGGTGTCAATATGTCATATGTCAATTGTCAATCCATATCCATTGTGATTTAGGAATGTTAGGTGATTTCTGCCCTTTATGGATTAAGACCAGACTCTGCATCAACTGTGTAATTTTCCATGGGAGTTTTGCCATGGATCCCCCTCGGGCATGCCACAGTCCAGGTGTTAGTCCCCTTGAAACAACTTTTCCATCACTATTGTGGCCAGAAAGAGTCCCTGTGTGTTTTAAAATTCACCTGCCCATTGAAGTCAATGGCGTTTCGGGCGATTCGCAGGTTCGCGAACATTTGCGGAACCGAAAATTTCGGGTTCGCGACATCACTATTTATCACTAATCAAATCATATAATTAGTATTAATCCCTGCATATAAACAAGTGATTGTGATGCCTCAATGTATTATCAAAAAAATAACCCAAAAAACTTCATAATATAAGGTGATCATATGTAATAGTGGTCATATAAAGTGACCATATTTTTTTTTTTTTTTTGTAAACTTTATAAAGACTTAAGGAATAAACACAATATTTACGCCATTGTATATCACCATGTATAAACTATAACAAACTAGAAAATTATTTACAATCACTATTCAGTGTATCTACCATATTCTATTTGTCCTCTTCATATAAATCTTTAGAACAAGCCTATTTAACACCTTAAAGTAGTCCATTATTATGGTTAAAGAAAAAATAGTGAATATATAACTCAAAAGATAATGTGCAGTAAATAACTACTTCTCATACAATCTCTGTTTAGTATATCTATAACATTTTTATTTGTACGTTCCCTATACGCCCTTGGAACAAAACCATTAATTACATTAGAGCAACTTATTATAATTTGATCATACAAAAAAATGAATCATAGCATATAGAGTAAAGGATAGCTGCTTTATATTCAATATATATATATAAATCCTCTTTCCAAATGGGGATTAACCCTCAACTGTAGAACAAGCCCCACAATGGAGGCAAACACACATACCTTTATTATCAATTCTAAATCTTGTTTAGGCCATATTAATCTAAAAAAACAGATTAAATCAATATCTAATGTCAACACCCTTAGGTGTAAGAGTCTGCAATTTATGTATCTAGAACGTCTCCCTTTGGGCTAATCTTTGAACCCTGTCACCCCACGCCAAAAAGGGGGAACTCGTTCAATTCCCCAACACCTGACATTTTTAAATGGGAAAAAAAGGGGCATGATATACAATGAGATGGAACTGAGTGTGTCATCAATCTCCTTCTGATATTATTAAGATGTTCTAATAAACGAACCTTCAATATCCTCTTAGTCCGTCCCACATATCGCACCCCACACGGACATTGTAACAAATACACTACAAAGTCCGTGTGGCAACTAATGTAATCTTTAAGTAAAAAAGTCTCCCCATGATTAAACTAGAGAATGAATGTGTTTTTAATGGATACCGTGGCATAGGCCTTGCAAGTACCACAGCCTCGTAATGAGCCTGAACGAGCAGGGGTAGAAACTGATGGTGGTTTGATGGCAAAACTAGGTGCCAACATATCCTTAAAATTTTTATTTACTATGGGGTTATCCGTAGATGTACCCCCAAAATGGGGTCTTGTAACAGAATAGGCCAAGAACTTTGAAGGCTTCTCTTAATTTTGTTATGATCAATATTGAAATGGGTGATAAATGCTGAATGGAAGCTATCCCTAGTTCTTGGGGCACATAATCTATTCTCCAAAAGTATTTTCCTCTCTAAATCGCCAATTCGACAAATCTCTTTCTCTAATCTCTTTCCATTATATCCTCTATCTATAGGCTTCTTTTTAACATGTAGTGATTGAGCAAAAAACTCTTGTTTATCTGAACAATTCCGTCTAAGGCGGGTAAACTGGCTTTTGGCAATCCCCCTGAGCCAGGGTTAATGATGGCCACTTTTGCGAGGGATTAATACTAATTATGTGATTTGATTAGTGATAATTGAGGATAACATCTTTTGTACGATTAACACTTTCTTCTTTAGTAGAATGTGGGGCTTCAATTAGTTCTGCTTGCTTCATACGATCTCTGAATGGGCTGATTACGTCCGGTTGTCATGGAGATGCCATTGTTGGAACGCATGTGGAACGCGGACGTTCTTGTGACATCACTTCCTGTTTCGGCTAAAACGATCACTTCCGGTATTTGCCGAAAAGGGCGCGAATTACAAGCCACAGAAATTGGAAAACAAAAGACAGCTGATACAGGAGGATT